TTGCTGGCTGCAACTGTGGACTATAAATCCCAGAGGCACCCAGAAGCAGGAGAAGGAAGTGATGAGCAACCCTCCAGAGTCCTGCTGCTGTAATTCTTGACTGCATATCCTTGTCCTGCTGCCCCTTGGGTCTCTGGGAAGTGAACACAGTCAGAGCCATGCTTTGGCACCCCCTGGCTTCTGGCCTGAGCCACTACAGGCATGTGGCTACACTTCCTGAATCCAAGGTAAATGTCTGTTTGCTTCTGTCTTCAACTTTTGATCTGTACAGTTTAAACTAACCTGCAAAGACTGAAATGATTCAGTCTTGGGCTTTTTGACTGTCTGTACCTAGCCCAAAGGTACATTATGCCCTTTGCAGAACTGACCTTTCAAGACCTAACCCTATAAACTACCACGCAGATAGATACCTTTGCCTATGCAGCAGCCCAATAAACTCAATAAGATATCACACTAACAAATATTTCTCAATACTGAGATCAAATTTGGAATCACCATTCATTTTGTTCAGTATTTTTGAGAATTTTATTGTTGCCCAGTAGGGAAAATATACTGATATTTACCGCAACTACTATTTTTGCCCTTATTTCACTTCCTTCCCCCATCTTTCTATCGTTCTGTTCTTTGTTGGCTTTTTTTTTTTTTAATACACAGAACAAGTCCTATGCTCTTTTCTTAAAGTACATGCAGAAGGAAAAAAGTGAGAAGACAACTATGATATACAGAAACTCGATCAAGAAATTTCTGGCATAGGCTACTGGCTAGTGGAGTAACTATGGGAAGAAGAAAAACAATCAAGTCTTTGAATGTTATTCTTGAATACAGCAAAGCCTGCTGGATTCGAGAATAATAAACCAATCAAGATAACTGGCAAGGAGGCCCAATCACTTTTTTAATTGCTTGGAAATATAAATGAATATTATCTAAGCACAGAGAAATTACCTTGTCTGGTCTATGCTCCCTCCGCCCTGTTAGAGACCTTGAGAGCATAAAACAATTTAGTATTTTGAAAACAGTTCAGATGTACTGCTTACCAACTCTGTTTTCTCATTGGCTAAATGAAGTTGCTTAGTTAGTTGTTCAAAGCCAGTCAACTGATCCTAAAAAAGAAAGGAGAGCTTGAAACAGTCATCTTTAAGAGATCTTTAATTATCATAGATACATTTATGTTCAACTAAAATTTCCAACAAATTGTGTGCGTCTGTTTTATGGAATCAATGTTTTATCTCTCTTTAACTAGTAAAATCGTAGGTGAGATACTGATAATAACCAGTAAGGGCAAAAATCTAATCGGTCGCATGCCTCCTAAATGGATACATGCATACAGTTAAAAGAAACCAAAAAACCCCCAAATCTTAATGTATACCTGTACATTACTTCTAGCAGACTATTTTTGTTAGAAGCAGAAAACAGACTTGCTTATGCACATATAGCCTTTCTGTAACTCCCTATATGCATTTAGGCCATTCCCTGGACTCTTGAATGGTTCCTTATGGCTCTTGTGGCTCCTGTGACTAAGAAGCTATAGGACAGCTTATTTGAAAATGAAAACAAAAGGAGTGGGGGAGGGAAGGAGGAAAGAGGATGACTTCTATTCCTTATGTACTTTGCTGGGATATGATTTATGGAAAGACAGTTCTATGCAGCACCATTCTACAATTCCTTCTAAAAATTGAATGGCATTCTCACTCTACCTCACTGTAATTTACTGCTATATAAAACTACACTTTGGTATGCATAGCTCATCATATGGTCAATGGATTTATTGTTCAGTTATACTATAGTGCATGTAACTGCCATAACCCAAGTGGGGTTGTGGCAGTTAAGAGTGGAACCGTAAGCCTGCCAGAATTGTGTAGTAGCATCTGGTGTCACAAACCCAACAGAAGTGAAGCTTGCAAACAAATTGGGGTCACAGCTAAAAATAGTATGGGAACTACTCTTCTAAGCACAAGGTATAGGTGAATGATGGCAGTGAAATACAAATTACACTACTTCAGATCAAAATATACACTCTGAATTTATCCCAGATACAATGGTGGACCAAAAGAAACAAATGCAAGGCAAATTACTTTTTGCTTTTGCCTTTCAACCACGTGAATGTGGGTTTCAGTCATGTATTCCTGGTACTGCTGGTGGAGTTGATCTAGTTCCTGTGATACTGTCTGCCAGAGTTCTAGTGCTTGTTCTTTTTCCTAGGACATTTAAGAACAAAAATAGAGAAGGTTATACATGTGTAGTCTTACAAAAAGACATGTTTATCTTAATTGAAAATGGTATCTTGCTTCCACAGAAGAGCTCCAAGACTGTCCAACTCAGTTTCTATATGTGTTGGCTATTGTTATTTAACTCAATTGCCAAATTCAGCTGTTGGTTATATGGATCAGCTCCCAAAATAGTTATGAGAGCTACACAAGAGAACATAGCCCCTCAAGTACAGAAGCATGGACATGAGGCAGTACTTTTCAGTAATGGTCTTGTATGCAGTTCTCTAATCCATCTTTCCTGCCCTAAAATTAATTAATATGAACCTTCAATGGTCCTATTCTGTTTTACTGTTGTTTTGATCAGAGCTATATGCCAAAATGATGGCCAATACAATGTCTAGAAATATATTCATCACAAGATGTTAGAAAAGCCTTCTGTATTCTCCCATGAAAATTTCTTCTCTTTAGTCAGGCAATTAAAGGAATAAATCAATCTAGCAATTAATGGCACAAAATGCAGTAACTTTCTTGAAACATTCCAATGACAAATTCTCTTCCAAGTCTTGGAACCACAAGCAAGATATGAAGTATCAGCAGAACAGAAAATAGAATACTTTTTCTAAATATTTAATCCAAAAAGACTATAATTAGAGTTTCTTTACCAAGGGATTAAATGATTTTCCCTGACATGCCAAGGAACAAGCTGAGGATAGATATGTAGCAGCATTACTCACTTGATGGGCTAGATGTAACTGATCTTGGAGGTTTCTTATTATGTCTTCATCTGCAAACACATCGCTTCCCAGAAAAGTACTAGGAGGAAGGGTTTCTAACTGTTTCTCAACAGCTTCCTTCAGTTCTTCATGCAGCCTACAATACATGTAAAGAAACTTTTACTATGTGTTTTTTTTTTTTTTTTTTTTAAGACATTTGGAATAGCACAAGTATAACTGATGTGAAACACTGACTACAGCTGAAATAGTCTAATATTTTCAGTCAAGCTCTATTTTAAGTTGATAGCTTTTTTTAAGGTCTTGTCTGCATTAATGTTTGCAGGTTCAACTATGTCTGTGGTATGTGGGGGGTAGCGGGGGGTCCTATCCCCTATAACTGACAAATCTACATCAACAAAGGCCTGGTGAGATGCAGCTCTGTTGGCAAAAGATCAGCTTCTGCTGGCAGCATTTCTGCCGTTCAAGGTTGCTGGTCTAACTCTGGTCCCCCCCGTCCCCCCTCCAAAAAAAATAAAAATAAAAAAAAATTATGATACATCTACACCAAAAGGCTGCTGGCATACTTAGGCAGAAGCCCTGTAATGCAATGTAAACTTTAGTACTACAGAAATAAAAATAGAGTTAATTTAGTATGTATAAAAATGTCTATAAATACCCTGAAAGTTATTACTGTTTAACTTTCTCACAGAGCTAACAGATGCAAGCAACAGCCTTGCTTCCTTCTTTCTTTTGCAATAAGTAAGTTCATACTACTCAAGTTGACTCCATCCAGAGGTTCAAATACTAAGACTAGAAAGAATGCCTATGGCATTGCAAGCATTGATATAGTATGTACTCTGCTGCTTTAATAGAAAAATAAGTTACTACTTGTTTTTCTTTGATATTTAATGTGATAGTTAAGAGTCTAAGCAAGGCTTTCATTATGAAACACCATCTTCAAGATTATTTCCTCTGAAACTTCTTTCTGTGAAAGCATACACATGATGATTTAGTTATTTTTGAGTTGGCCAGAGATTGAGGAAAAGATTTATTATTCAAGTTGCTAGGTGCTTTTTATTGGATAGAAACTTAAACTCTTTCAATTCTGCGCATTTAAGTCAGCAAGAAAAAAAGCTGAAATGTTTTAATAGACCCATTAACCTGTAGTAATATATTTAGTCAAGACAGCAAAATAAATAATAAAGCTGTAGTTAAATCTGATTAAAGCAATTGCATGAAGCATGTCAATTGCCACTCACTGGAAAAAGACTAGAAGAATTTTGCAAGTTTGCCAGTAAAACTAAATGGAAAATATAAGATTGACAGTTCACTTGTTGCCTTCCTCCCCTCTCCAAAGAAGAACAAGACTTCACAAACATTTGTAAGCATTCCAGAACTGTGTGGTAGCATCTGGTTTCACAAACCCAGCAGAAGTGAAGATTGCAAATAAAAGTGGGGTCACAGCTAAAAACAGTCTAGGAACTTTTGCTTTAAGCACACGAGGTATAGGTGAATGATATAAGTGAAATACAAGTTGTCACCTTAAATCAAACTACGCACCAACTCTAAATTTATCTAGAATACAATGGTGTGTAGAAAGAAACAAGGAACATTTTCTTTTTGCTTCTGCCTTTCAAAGACTGTCAAGAGGTAAAAGACACTTTGTTTAAAAAAGAAGGTGAAAATTGTAGAGTGCAACAATTAATAACAAGATATACTGTTACAATGAAACCATTAGGTTTACGTGATTCTATAGAGACACAAGAATAGCAAAACTGCCCCAACTCCAGCCCTGCTTCTCCCTAGGAACATAAATCTTTGATTTAAAAATTGTTAAGCCTCCTCTAATTTTATTAGTTAAACAGTTAACCAATTAACACCTGTCTAAACCTGGTTGGGGAGGGGGGGGGTCAGAGCCCTGGTGCCTGCTCTGCCCTGCTGCTGAGGAGTGGGGGATCCTGCCTGGAGCTGTATGGAGATCCAGGGGCTGCAAGCAGACCTGCTTGGACACAGCTGGTGCTGAGAGCAGGTCCCTGGGGTCTTGGATGGGGGCAGGCAGTGGCAGTGGTGGCAAGTCCCATCAAACAGCACATCCCATATGAAGCTGTAGACAGCAGCAGCAGGCAAGGGGCTTTCTCAGCCCACTGCAGCCACTGGCTCACTGGGAAGAAGGGAGCAGACAACATGAGTTGGAGTTGGACTTAAACTTTAAGTAGCCTGTTATCTTCCAGCCAGGTTCTTGGCACCTGTGAACAAGCAGTTAATTGCTTGAGTCATTGGGCCACCTGTTTTTCTTTAATCTTGTAATCTATGGGTACTAGTTCCCTGCCACCCCCCTGTTTGTGAGGCACTGTGCCACTTCCCTTCTCTCCTGAACAGGGCCATGTGCAAAATGTTAACTGGTAATGCATTACTACTATAAATCTAACCTTTCACATCTTTACTTCACTCATGTTCAAACTGGGTAGATTGTCTAAACTTGCATCACTACATGATCATTCAGATGTAACAGTTACAGCATAATGGGTAAAGCATGCTTCTAAGCAGCAACCTGCTTTTTAAAGTGGCTAAAATACATGTTTATCCATACTCCTAAATACAGTGCCAGAGGAAAAGCCCTTTAACCACCAAGTACCAGCTCGATGCTACATCTAAACATCTCACATTCTACTTAACAGTAGAAAACACAATTCTTTCTCCTTTGCTAGATTGCAAGAACTGCTTGACTGATTTTTGTGAAAGTGGGTATGTGTTTCAAAAGTAACTTGAGGGGAGGGGCGGGAAGGAAATAAAGTAAGAAATTATTTTCACCTTTAGTGCACAATGCAAAGAAATGTGGTAAGAGCAGACACTAACATTAAAAGGGAGCAGAGATTTACTAGATTCCCCCAAAATTGTAGGTGTCAAGCTGTTTCAGCTTATTATTTCACTTAGCTGGTAACAATATAATCCAAAATAAACCTTCATTCTTTACTTGTCAAGTTTCAAAATTTCGTTTTCAAAAGTGAGGCAGAAGAGAGGAAGCATGGCTTTTACTTAAAAGCTCCAGGAAAAAAGTATTCCTAAATCTTGCATAATTCCAACAATTGAATTTTTCTAAACTTTGTAAAACTGGTAATTTATCAATACTCTACTCTAAATGATCTTTTCAGTACAATGTTTTGGAAAGTATTAATTGTGTAAGCAGTTTCTTACTTATTTTTGTGGCCTTAATATTACTTGATGGGGGGGAAGGGAGAGGGGAGGAAGAAACCCTCTCCTACTCACTGGATATGTTTATAGGTACAGAAATATATAAATAAAAATGTATAAAATAATTAAGCTTTTACAGCATTGAAACTTAGTACTGTGATTCCCATTTAATAATTTAAACACAATCAGGTACAAGTACACTTGGCTAAAATTTCAAAACCTTGATGCCATAACTCATATTATGCACCCGCAATACACAGGTTCAGAAATTTATTTCCAGGTCCCTAAAAAGACATTTATTTTTTAGATTTCAGAAACAGGAAAAATGGTAATGATTAATCTACCTTTCATTTTCCTTGATGACTTGTTCAAGCTTCAGTCTCATCTCGCCCATCTGTACCTGACAGAATAAAATTTGAGACTGAGCTTTCATATGTAAATCTCAGAGCTACCAATCAGTCAAGTAACAGACTGGAAAGCACACTGTAAAACACTCCCTGAACTTCCTAAAGCTTAGCACCAATTATTTCTGACTCGCATTAATAAAAATAGACAATGCAGCATGGTGGACAAATAATGTAATATTTATTTTGCAAGAGCATTCACAAGATGCAACTTAAGTCCAGATAATTTGTAGATAGTATTCAAATATTAAAATCATTCCATTCATATCTATGAAAAGTGCACAATAAATATTTATACAGTTTGCAAAATCTTAGGCGAATGAACTCTAATCGTAAAGTTGTCATTTTAGATTTGAGTTTTGTAATTTTACATAGTTCTTACTAATTACAGTCATCCAATATAACTTTCTGCCTTAAATAGATGCAGAAAAAAATGATGTTTCTAATTTTAAGAGAAGTTTCTTAATTTTTGAAACTCTAGGAAATAAGAGCACTTTTTTTTTTAAATTGTTTTCATTTGGTCATAAATTATTACCTAAAGGACTGAAGCATCAGAAAGAGCAGACCACTTCTACAATTATCTGAACTAGGCAAACTGAGTCAACATGTGTAGACTGTATGGCTGAGAGAGCCAACAAAAAGGCCAGATATGCTTCAGCAACATTTCCCCTCAGGTTTATATCCATCCATCTGCATAACCAATTTTCCACTTAAATGCCTCATTGGGAGGGGGGTGGGTGGAGATATGATTGTACAAAGAGGAGATCTGGAAGAGTTTGGGCATGCTGCTGCTAACTTTCTGCCTCTCCACCACCAGGAAGTGCAATGGAAGGTGAAGGAACTTTTTTTCTCCCTCAAGATGAATATTGGGATGTGAAATTAAGTAGTAATTAGTGAATAATAGTCACTGTTGCCTCTCTCTCTCTCTCTGACCAATATCTGAAATTTAGAAGTTAATTTAATCTGTGTTCCCATCAAATCTCCTTCACCACTAATACTCATTTCACCTCAGAAAAGAACTTGTAACTACAGGTACACCGATACACCAGTCTGATTATCGGATTGTACAGATTATAAAGAAAACTATCTGTATCAGCCTTAGGTGGCCCATAATTGGGCTGATGAAATGCAGCCGCAGTGCAGCATGTAGGCAGTGAAGACACAGATTGCAGCTGGTAAGTTGGGGAGGGGAAGGGAAGGGGGTGGGGGACACAGATCAACACCCTGCTGTGAGGGAGGGAGGGAACAGAGCTGGGGCAGAGGCAAGTACTGGGGGGGGTGGGGGATGAAGCCTCAGCTTGTCTAGGGGCTTGGAATGGAACACAGCTCATCTGGGGGAGGGGAAGGGGCTCCCACTACTGCTGTCATTTACACGGGGGGGGGGGGGGGG